TAATTCGTTTTTTTTTTTATATCTCCCGATCCGCGCGTTTTTACGCGAGGCACACTGGGATCAACGTTCGACCTCTCGTCGAGGCGAACGTTTTGAGACGTTTTTTGAGAAATTTTAACGGCTAGAAAAAGAGATATGAATTTTTTTGTATTTTTTAATTAAAAATCCTCAAAATCAGGAGTTTAAATATTTAATTCGTTTTTTTTCGATATCTCCCGATCCGCGCGTTTTTACGCGAGGCGCACCGGGAGCAAAGTTCGACCTCTCGTTGAGGCGAACGTTTTGAGACGTTTTTTGAGAAATTTTAACGGCTAGAAAAAGAAATATGGAATTTTTTATATTTTTTAAATTGAAATTTTGAAAATTATGAATTCCTTTTATTTTAATTACGAAGAAAAGAAGCGAAATTAGGTGAACCCTGCCCCGACCAAAGTTGGTCCTCGTATTTTTCCCGACATTTTGAGACCTTAGTCGGGGAAAACGGACTCCGTTTGGACGAGTGGTGATCGCCAACAGACAGGAAAAAATGGGAAAATTAAGAGGAATTAGTGGTTTTCTTTGTATTTTTATAAAAATAAAAGGGAAACAGAAGTCGGCATTGGAACCCGACTTTTAACTGACTACAAACCGACGGAAAATTTTCTGCCTCGAGAAGTCGGACGTGGTGGCGTGCGGTAGTGCGCAAAACCCTAAAACCCTAATTGGGGGAAACCCTAATTAGGGTAAAACCTAACTCTAGGTTAGGGGAGGGCGGTGCGTAGCAGGGCGGATACAAGTCTTCCTATCTGACCTGTGATGAGAAAATTTGTATAAATCTAGTTGGCCAAATTGAAATTAATCAATATTGGGAATTTTGTTTTATTAAATAATTTAAGTTGTAAATTTGTTTTAAGTAATAATTTATCATTTAAAATCAATTTAAAATCAAAGTAATTATCTAAAATTCTACAAGAAAGGGGAGTCGACTTTATTTCGACTTTGTGATTCGGGTGGTACTTTGCTGAACCCCATCCCAACGGGGGGGGAGCCAAGTGCTGCCGAAATTACTCGGCAATTTGCTGAATTTTATTCAATAAAATCTTAAATAATTAAAGAAAATACTTGAAAATTAGCTAAAAATTGAGATACT